GGGGTGGGGGGGGGGGGGGGGGGGGGGGTAGAATGCACCTGGAGCCTGCAGTGAAGAGCAGGGGTAACACCAGTGCACCATGCCCATCACCCTTCCATCTGGTGCCCATGGACAGAATGGGGAGGGTTCACCAGCATCCCCAGCCCTACCTTGGCAGAACGAGCCTGTGAAGCCTGGTTTGCAGCTGCAAACTGGTCTGTCCTCCATCACCCGGCAGTTCCCCTGATGCTGGCATGGGTTTGGCAGGCAGGCATCTGGGCTCCTCTTGAAATGGAGGGCAAGCCCTCGCCTTGAGTCACGTGGCCTTGCCAGCTCACCTGCAGCAAAGGAAAGGCGAGCAAGCTGAAACACAGCAAGAATATCTTCCCAATGCGAGATGCAAGTGAACTAGCCCCACAGCGTGAAGCCCTGCCCAGCTCGCACGGGCTGAGATCCTCACTTAGAGCCAGAGCAGACACATCTGAGGAACAACCTGACACCTCAGCTTGCCTTGGAGGATGTGATTGAGAGTCTGGGAGACCTCCTCTGCATGGCCATAAACTGGAACAGAGCTATGGAGCCTGGCACCAGCTAGCAAGGAGAGCAGTGGCACATCACAGCACCTGTGCCCATCTCCATGGGTTATATTCCACACACGGCTGGGATGGCGAGCTTGAGTTTCTGACTATTTTGCACCCTGGTTCCTGCCCCCACTGAGCCCTGCTCTGTTGTCCCCCCCTTAGCAGCCTTCAGCGGTGCCCAGAATGAGGAACCTGGACACAGATCAGGTGAGGGTTTGACCTCTCCTTTCCATACTACTCATCTGTGACCTAGCAGGGACAGTGTACAGGGATACTCACTCTTGTTGCCTTCACAGCCAGCCAAGCAGAGGGCAGAGACCAGCAGCAAACATCTCATAGTCCTTTCCTGTAAAAACAAGCAAGCTCTGGGTCACTCGGATTTTTAGGATGCTCACTGGTGATGTTCGCAGTCATACAGAAAGAGCCAACACTCAAGCATCGGTACGATAATTTCTGTACTGTATTTCCTCCAAAAACTCTAGGTTCAATGGCACAAAGTCATTTCCTATCCTAAAGGCTCAGAAACACCTCCCCGCCAGGCTAACACAAGGGTCATTTAGGTAGCTATTCCAGAAAGGGGGTGGGAGAAACCAGACTGCGAACCTGCAGGGATATGCTGACAGTGATAAAGCCACATTTCAGTAAGAACAGGCACTTTGAGTAAAACTGCACAGCCAAGGCTTCAGTACAGGCTCCCCGGAGAAGAAAGGAGTTTCCCTCTTCCCACTACAGCTTTTTGAAGAGACAGAATTTGCAATAGGATCCTTGCTTTTCCAGTAACTCATACTCATAGCAAGGAGGCAATGAGATTAAAAAAAAAAACCCAAAGCCTTGAACACAACTAAAATTAATGCTACAAAGCCACAGATTTAAGTTGATCTTCCCTATTAGTATAAAAAATGGATTTCTTTAGGGAAATTAATGGCAACGGTGCTGGATGAGCCCTGGACACTGGAGTCTCCTTATCACAGATATGGGTACTTGTCAGCTGGGGCCGGCAGCTGGAGCAATGCTCTGCCACCCCTCTGCCCTGCAGGTGCACGGAGAGTGGGTCAAAGCCAATGCCAAAAGCCTCACTCTGCTCTGGCAGCACATCGCGTACCCCCTCTGCCTGACTCCACGCGGCTGTAACCACCAGACCTCATGACAAGGAGGGTTTATTCCTTGCTCTGCTCCAGGCTCACTGCAGCAGTCCTGAGAGATCCCACCAGCGTCAAAATCTCACCTTGTTCTCATCCCACTTACCATCAACAGGCCACTTGATGCTCCTCCACCCCTGGGTTGCTCGTGTGCTCCCGCCACATTGCCTTTTATCACCCTCCAGCAGCTCGTCCTTCTCCCCCACGCAGACACACTGCCTCCGCGATTGCACAAGAGTCAGTTTAGCATCCTGCAGCTGGGGAGGAAAGGACTCCGCCACACATCCTCCAGCACGGGTGACCCTTCCGATTAGCCAACGGCTTGTGAATGCTGACCCAATTCACGGCCTTGATGGGATCCCAAACAGGGGCAGTATCTGCAAAATCCCCCGGAATCTTGGGTTTTGCCCATCCAACTGGTTTCACGGCCCCTGCTTTTGACGCAGCAATAACAATGGATACCACAGCGGCACACGCGAAGGCCAGATAACTGTGTGTACTGAATCGAGGGGTTTGCAACCACAACGTACGTTTGCTTTGGATGTTTTGTAATGGCTTCTGTCATCTAAGATCCGGTGAGAAGTACCGGTGAGAGATGGAGGAATGAGGAACTTGGTCCTACCACACTTGGGAAACAGTAATCAGCTTCAAACAGCAGCAATCATTCAAAGTGATGCTTCTTGATTTATATTGACTACACTCTGTGCGTCCTCAGAGCTTTAATTGCTACAGCCACCACAACATAGCTGCAAATGTGAACATCCATCCATCCGTCCAGTTTTTTCCTAACCACAATGAAAACGAGAAAACAGAAGTGTTAAGCACCTGACCCTGCTGACAGCTACCGATTTAAAAAAAAGGAAGAAAAAGAAGAAAAAAAAAAGAAAAAAGGCCTCCTGCCATCCCCTGCTGTCAGCTTTTGGGTGAGAATCTCTGCATTCCATTATTTATTTTAGAAAGTAATTAACCGGGGCATAAGCTTGCAGAGACTCACTTAGAGATGCAAAGGCAGTGCAGCCTGCAGGCTGAGAGAGCAACAAAGGAAAATGATGAAGAATGCGGGAAGGGGCTTTTTTGTGGGTTTGGTTTTCTGTTCTTTTTTTTAAAGAGAGTGAAACTCGGTAAGTTTACAAGCAGCCTTGTGGCCTCTGAGGGGCTGGTGGCAAAGCCATCCTGGCAGGCACGGTTTAGCCGCTTCCCCTTTATTTTGCCCAAAAGTCTTGTGGAGGGAGGAGGCTGCCACCATAAATGTGCCTTCTCCGGGTGGCTGTCGGGAGCTTTCAGCCTGGGGGAGACTCAAGAGAGCGGGCAGGGAGGGCTGGGGCAGCCGAGAGGGTGCGGGAGCCCCGGGGGGCAGCCCGGGCTCGGGGGCGGCTTGCGGCCTGGGGGGAGCCCTGAGGGCAGGCCGAGCAGGCCGCTCGTGCGGCGGGCGTTGCCATGGTGCGCGGGCCCAGCGGCGGCGGTGAGGCCGGGGGAGGCGGCGGTGAGGCGGTGAGGCCCGGGGAGGCGGCGGGAGGGCCGGGGAGCAGCCGCTGCGGCTGTGGGGGCCGCGGGGTGGAAGGGTGGCGCAGAGGCCGGGGAGCAGCGCCGGGCCCCGGGACACCCCCGTGCACGGTCTGTGCCTCCCTCGCGCTGTCAGCTCCTCAGGAGGTCAGCCTGACCTCAAGGAAGGGGAAGCAAACAGCCCCGAACCCCCCTGAGATGTCATTAGATAATATAAACAGCGCTCTGTCCTTGGAGGCTGCTGACTCTGCTGCAAAACGTACCCTTCCCTTCAAGGCCCCTGAGCGGCCGGCCGGGCTCAGAGCAGCCCAGAGGCATGGGCTGTGTGGGCTGTCAGCGGGTGCCCAGCGATGTCCGGAGCTCCTGGGAGCTGCTTCCCAGCCAGCAGCATCCCAGGCAGGACAGAGGATGCAGCATTTGCACGGGAAGCAGGGGCTGGACATGGGGATGTGCTGTCCCCCTACTGAGCCAGGCTCCCCCTGTTCTGCTGCCTACCCCACTCTTAGGGGGCCAGGAACATGCAGCCACTTTTTTTACCAAGCCCAGCCCAAACTCACATTCAGTGCTCACCCTTTACTGTCACACTTCCGGCTGCTTCAGCCATGCTCACCTACTAAATTCCAGGAGGGAATTCTGCCCATCTGCTCTGCTCTGGTGAGACACCCCCCCTTCCTCCAGCTGCCTCCAGTTCTGGGGCCACCACCATCAGAAGGACACTGAGATGTTGAGCTGTTGGAGCAGGGCCAGAGAAGTCCATGGAGATGCTCCAAGGGCTGGAGCCCCTCTGCTGGGAGAGGGGGCTGAGAGAGTTGGGGGGGTTCAGCCTGGAGAAGAGAAGGCTCCGGGGAGGCCTTGGAGCCCCTTCCAGTCCCTCAAGGGGCTCCAGGAAAGCTGGGGAGGGACTCTGGATCAGGGAGGGGAGCCATAGGACGAGGGGGAAAGGTTTTAAGCTGAAAAAGGGGAGATTTAGGTGAGATCTTGGGAGGAAATCTTTCCTTTGAGGGTGGTGAGGCACTGGCCCAGGTTGGCCAGAGAAGCTGTGGCTGCCCCATCCCTGGAGGGGTTCAAGGCCAGGCTGGACGGGGCTTTGGGCAACCTGGTCTGGTGGGAGGTGTCCCTGCCCAGGGCAGAGGGGTTGGAACTCGATGATCTTTAAGGCCCCTTCTAACTCTAACCATTCTGTGATTCCATTATTCTAAAACACTACAGCCAGAGTGCAAGTGTTTCTGTGTTGCTGTATATCTGATGTATATCCCTTAATTCACCCTGGTGCATGCATTTCTTCTGTGCCCAGGAGGAGGCAGAATGGATGTCCTGGAGGAGAAGGAAGAAGAGGAGCAAAGAGAAGAAGAAGAGCTGAAGGCTTTGGAGATCAGTGATAACCTCCAGGACTTGGAGATGAAGGTGTCTGTAGAGCAAGTCTGCATCCCAAGTGATGTACCGTAAGTCACGTGTGTCTGTCAGTTACTGGGATGAGCAGAGACGGTCCCTGTGGGGCCCATGGGGAGATGGCACATGTGTGGGTGGCACATCTGGTCCCCTGGCACAGGGAAGGGAATGAGCAAGTTTCGCATGTTGTCCAAGAGTGGGCACGTGAATAAAACAACTCACTTCATTGTACATTCATTTGCTGCTGTATCATGATGCTATATAAAGATGCCTGAGTCTCCGGGTATATTTCAGCTCAGCATCACTCCAGAGAAGCCTGGCTATGACAAAATCATATCCTTGGATATGATCCCCATTTTTTTCCCCTGGGAAACAGGGAGCCCCTGCCACGTATTTGATAGCAGGCCATCTTGCCGGAATTGCTTTCCGACTTATTACCCATGTCTCTGTCTCCTCCTGCCCTGGAAGTGATTTTAACTGAAACTGATTTTCAATTCAGCTCCATTGACACATCCCAATTACCATCCTCGTACAAGACAAATTCCCTGAATGAAGAGAAGCTGCTGCGCATCGCTGACCATTTCCTTCAGCAGTACACTCACCTCTGTCCTGACCGCAAACCGCTCTTCCTCCACCCGGTCAACGAGTGTGGCGTGGAGGTATGAGGTGGTGTGGGGCTGGGCTACAGTGCAGGGAGCACTCGGTTTCCATAGTGTGGAATGCTGGGGAAGGGCAGCAGCGCTTCCTGCCCTCCCTCCTGGCCAAAGGGAACGGGAGGCCACTTGCCATGCCCTGAGCAGGCACCCTGAGCAGGCACACAGCACCCTGGGAACACCCTGGCCGTCCAAATCCACAAGCACTTTGTACCACGCACGTGGTGATGGTGCTATGTAGGCTGCAGGCAGCTTGCAGCCTTGCAGCGTGACGCTTAGGAAACAGGAGAGACCACAGAAACATAAAGGGAAGTAAAAGAAACACATGAAGTAGTTAAATCTTAGGCTTAATCACAGATATGGAATCTCGATCCAGAGTTAGGTCTTAATCCGAACTTCTTAGAAGTTACAGGGAAGGAAGTAAATCTGGAAGTTTGTGCTCTGGTTAAGCTGCACAACTCTTGTCTAGTTCTCAACTTGATGCTCCCCTGGGCATCTGGAATTGCTACTTTGCTCCATCTTTCCCCAAAATTTATTGTATCATTAACATGCAAAGCAAAAAATGCTGGAGGATGTAAAAGCTGGGTGGTAGCTATTTGTCTTACTTGAAACCTTAGAGAAGAACTGTCTTGTATCTGTAATGTGTCTGGGATGAGCTTGAAGTTTTAGCCACAGACAAGCAGACAGCCTCTCAACCCCATGCAGTTTCCATCTCAGAACAGGCGAAGAGGATTCCTGACACTGTTGATATGCTCTAGGGAGGTCCTGAACATGAGCTGTGACATCCAGGGGTGGCCAAAGGACGGCTTTGGATGGGAGACTCTGCCAGGCATCTGTTGGCTAACCAGAGTTCTCCTGTTGCCCTACAGAAGTTTGTGAGCACAACGGTGAGACCAACCCTCCTGCCTTATGCAGAGCTGTACCACTGGGATGGCTGTGCCAGCTTCGTCTCTGATTACCTCACCATGGAGCCCCTCAAGTCCCCTATCACACCGGTAAGAAAGGGGCTACAGTCCCATCAGAAACAACCCCATGATGGAGGTGACAGCAGGACACAATGTGGAAACCATAGTGGCTGGGATTACAAAGGTCTTTGAGCCCTCCATCATCCTCTCATTACTTTGGCAACCCCCCAGTTTTCCCAGGCCCTGTGCGCACCGTTTGGACCCGTAATCCCAGTATGGTGTAGTGTTGTACCTGTGAAGTAATTGAGCACCATTTCTACAAGACTGGCCTGACCTTGTTCTTGGTCACCCCAGATCTGGTCTGCTGTGGGTTGCAATGGCAGACAAGCTTCCCTTCCAAAGGCCTTGGAACAAAGGAGCACATAAAGCCCAGGGGATGATGCTTGACCTCAGCGACCAGTTCTTAGGAGCTTTAGACATTTCTATCCCAATTTTAGGGATATTTTGGGGTGGCTGAAGGGAGATTTCTACACTGGCAAGAAGAGGTGATATCAGTTAGGGCAAGTTCTTGGCTAGTGCCAATCAGCTAGGCCCAAGGGAGCATGCTCTTTGCTAATAAGGATGCTGATGCCCTGCAAAGTGCCCCAAATGGTCTACACCAGTTCTGTGCTGGCCGAGTGTGTCCCAAGAGTCCCGGGGTCTCAAGAGGAACTCTGGCACTTTGCAACCACACAGAATGTATCTCCATTTAGCAGATGGAGACCGCCTTGATCACCTAAGCTGATGTCCAAGCTCTGGGAGTAGACTGTCTACGTAGAACCTCTCCATATGCAGTATGTGCATATTGATCCCTTTGCTTGGTCACTGGTGAGGGCCAGAAGGGAATGTGTTCCCTCCTTTGAATTATAACTTAGCTTATGGGCCTTCTGCTTTGAAATGCTGCAGACAGATCAGCTAGACGTGGAGGTAAGCCCCACGCCAGAGTTGAGGCTAGCATTAGATTTTCAGCAATTTGACAAGCCTGTCCTGCCCATCTCTCCCCATGGTTAAATTTGTCACCAGACTTGGGGTCAGAATTTCTTCAGATCGCTTTAGTGAGGGGGGACTTTTGGGCTCTGTGGCATATATAGGAATTTCATATAAGATTCCCTATGGGTGCAGAGGCCAGGGATGTGGGCAATGCCCTCTCTCTGTCTCCTGCTTTCTCCCTGGTGTGTGTTTCAGCTTCACAAGACAAGCACTGAGAACACGCATCTCTCTCTTTCAAGCCCAGTTCGCTCTATTCCCCAACCACCATCCTGAAATACCAGCGAGGGAACTGCTTTGACTTCAGCGTGCTGCTGTGCTCCATGCTGATCGGGGCTGGGTATGATGCCTACTGCGTGCACGGATATGCCACCCACGAGATGTGCACCCTGGACGAGACTCTAAAACTGTGCCCGCTGCTCAGGAAGCCACAGGAGGTGAGACCTGCAGCGAGCGGGCAGGGAGGCGCCCAGCATTGTATGTGCGGCCTGTTTGTTTCCAGTGAGCTCCAGGGTTGAGCTAGGGGGAACATCTTCAGTTCCACACTGGGTTTCAGTCTGTACCAAGTAGGGACCTCACTAAAGGGATCTTTTGAGTGATTTTCCACAGTGCCTTAAGAGGCCTCTTTGGCTTCACTGAATTCCTGCTCACCAGGTCCAATACTGCAAACTGCCAAGGGTTGGGAACTGGGAGGTACATGTAAGCCATACATTTTCTCCCTTCTCTTGATGTCTGCTGGGTTTCACAGCAATACCCTGCTTTTGTGGAGGCAGGAACCAAAAGAGAGGATGAAGAAGTCCAACAAGTACAGAGTTAAGCCCCCACCAGACCTGCAGAGCAAGTTTGAGCTTCAGCAGGAGGCCAAGAAGGCAGAAACTGAAGCTGCTGAAAAGAACAAGGGAAAAGAAGTGGAGAAGGTCACGGTGAGTTAGTGAGGTCCACCTCACTGTGAACTCCAGGAGCAAGAGCTGAGACACAGGTAATGGCTGACCAAAGAAAGGAGGTCACCACCCTCTGCCACAAAGTATGACACAGCCCTGATCATGGCCATGGGCATTTGGCCTCAAGGAACACAATGTGTGCTGGCACGGGAATATGTGCTGGGTATGTGCTACATCACTCTTCTGAAGAGCGTTTAGGGCCTGGAGATCATTAGAAACAGGCAGAGGAGAGATTAAAATTGCTGTTGGGTTGAACTAAAGTGACAATAAAATGGCAATAATTACTACTCTGTCCTCTGTGCTACAGGAAGTGGAAAAGCCTGAGCGGGACCCTTTGCATGGCTTACGGGTGCATGCATGGGTTTTGGTTCTGTCTGGGAAGAAGGAGGTTCCTGAGACCTTCTTCATCAACCCTTTCACGGGAAACAGCCACAGCACCATGGATGAGCACTTCCTTGGGATCGAGAGTGTCTGGAACCACAGGAACTACTGGGTGAACATGCAGGACTGCCGGAACGGCTGCAAGGTAAATAAGCCCTTAAGCACCCTGTGCCTGGGAGGGACAGCTGGGTTAACCTGAGTCCTGGGGAACTCCAAGATCAGTGGTGATCCCAGTTTCCACTTACCGTTCCCTGGGTTGGCTCTGGGAGGTGAGGGAATGGGTTAGAGCAACTTGACCTTGGGGCCATGCATGCCCCAAGGAAGGAGGTAGAAGCATTCCAACAACTTCCTCTCATCTGTGGCAGAGGCACCATGAGGAAAGGGGTCTGCAGGCCTCTAGGCACAGGTGCGGTCTTTGGGGTCCCACCAGCCAGCCAAGCACTGATGAGCCAACCTCACCGAGATCCAGGGCCTGTCTAGGCTCTTTTACCTCTCTGATTTGGGGTCCAGGGCATCACAGACGTGCAGGAGCAGCATTTCATTTAGTGTCAGGCCCTTGAGACTGCCATGTAGTTAAATGGGTTTCTTCTTTATGGCCTAGGATCTCATCTTTGACTTGGGTGACACTATCCACTGGGAAGTTATGCTTTCAGGGAGCAACAAGCCTCTTCAGCTGCTCTCAGATGCTGAGGAGGAAAAGGAGTTATCTGACAGGGACTCGGATGATATGGTGAGTGACCCAAATGATGGCTCTTGTGCAGTGGGGATGCTGTATGGAACTGGTGTGTTCGCAGGCCTGCCTGCTGCCCTCTCCAGGTCGGATCATGACTGCTCTAATTAGGCTTTGGTTGGCTCCTTAGATTTCTTCTCCATCTTGAATAGTTCTGGTGTTTTTTGAAGCAGGACCCCAGGTGGTACTTCTGGTGTCCTAAGTGGCTAGGGATCTCTACAGGCCTCCAGTGCATTGATATTCTGGACACTCTTTCTCTGCTGCTCAGCACCATCATCTCCTGACTGCTAGATGGAGTTGCCAGCAAGGTGTAGAAATAATGTATGTACTCTAACAGTTTAAAAAATGCTGTCTACTGGAAGAAAAAATGTTGTGTTTTCCTGGTGGGAGCACACAGCATGATAAAGCAGGCATCACACCAGCACAGCGGGACAAAGGAACAGTACATTCCCTCCTGTTATCTATACTTCTCAGCCTGCACTCCTAACTGGGGAGCAAAGTGCCTTCCATGGTCTACGTCAAACAAACTGGTCATTCGTTTGAGTGCTGATTGTCACCCTATCCAGCATGACCGTTAGCTAGAAGGTAATTTCATTAAACTGGAGTAGGGCTCCCCTAACTGTGCCACCGTGTTCCCCAGAACCAGTTTTGTGCTAACTGGCCTCTCATCGCTGCACTGCATTCTTTAGAACCAAAATGCCTCCTGCCACAGTAAGGGAAGCTGCCAAAAATGCAAATCTCTGCTTCTGTTTCAGCAGGAAAAGGAGGAGGGAGATAGGAGTTTTGACATGCCACCTTCGTGGGTAGCCCCAATTCAGATATCTCCCAGAGGTATGTATTCTTCCTTTGCCTTTTGCTTGCCCCCAGCTAACGTTTTAGTGGATCTAGGGTATTTGTTTATCTTGCTCAAGAGTTCTCCCCTCAGGATGAGGGTACAGCAGTGAAGTGCAGAAGATGAAGGCAGCAACAGCTATTGGTTTGAATGCCTGCCCTCACTGCACTGTCTCATCCCCCTGCAGACAGACACACACACTGTGTTTTCCTGCTAGCTGAACAATTTTACCAGGGATGGACTTTCTGTTACCGCTATGCACAAGGGACTGCCCCTGCCCTATCAAATATTTGCTTTGGGAGAGAAAAGAGTTATTATACTGTTATAACATTATAGCACAACAGGCAGGGTCTGAACAGCTTTACTGGCAGCTGAACACAATCAATAAATACATGGTTTCTCTTAGACCACATTTTTCTCCCTCTTGAATTATATTTTCCTGAGGCTGAGTACAAGGGAGTCAGTTTTTCTGACACCTCTCTTGTCCACTGCAGAGTTTGAGACCCGCTGTTCCGAGGGGAGGAAGGTGATCCTGTACAAGAAAGCAAAACTGGAGAAATGGGCACCATACCTGAATGGAAATGGGCTGGTGAAACGCCTCACCATCTACGCAGACTTAGGCTGTAAGAGGCATGAGGGAACACACTGGATGCACTGAACCTGGGGTGTGCTGATGGGAAGTGGGGGGCAGGCACTTTCTGCCAATCTCTCTTGTGCTTTCTCATCCTCCTTTCACCTTTGTGAGGGACTTACCTACTGTATCTTCAAACGCTTCATCATGCTCACTGGCTGTCAAGCCCCAGAACTTTCCAGCATTGATAGGGGTGCCTGACAGAGTTTGAATCTGTTCTACACCCCAATGGCGAGGCTGTTTGTCTTGCACGTCAGCTGCTTGGATTTCCAGTCTTCAGAGAAATGGAAGGCTGGTTTGATTTGATCCAATAGCATCACTATTCCCACTGGAATTGACAGGAGCCATAGAAAGAGGTAGCTATGGGCGGTGATATTTCTGTACTCCAAAGCATTATTCTTCAACAGCTGGTCCAAGACACTGTGTAGATTCCTAAAAGGACATACAACGTCCTGTCCTCAGCCCTCTTGGACAGTGTACTGTCTCCATCTCTTTTCTCTTCATTAAATATTTGGGATAGAATTTCTCTCCCCTAACTGTAATCATCTGGTGTGCCACCTTCTCCCCCTGAGCTGATTAGTTCTTGTTGATGGAGGGGAATAAACCCTCTTAAGGTATAATTCATCTACTCAAATGTAGATTAGGATTCATCTACAAAATGCCCTTGGGCACAGGGCCAGTTCCAGTGGCTGTCTGATGTGTGCTTTGGCTGTATCTGGACACATGGTGCTTGTGCAGACACTGAGAATTCATCAGGTGAGTCTTACCACCTCCAACAGAGTGACATAAAGGTTGTGAAACGGTTTGTCTCCTGCCAGGCACTGAAGTAGCGGAGGTGAGGGAGTGGTTCAAAAACCGAGAAGACAGGTTGGAGATGAGAGAAGTGAATAAGCAAACACAGCTGACCACAGATTACTTCAGTCCAGGACACCTCCTCTGTCTTAAAGGTATTCCAGCTCAGCTGAGCAGCAACTGCAGCTGATGGGATTTCATGTGAATCCCTTCTAGCAGTGGCAAAAGCCCAAAGTTGGGGGGGCTGCAAACTTGTGGGATGTATCGCCTATATAAATAATGTGGTCTCTAGTGGACAGGAGACAGTTGGGTTGTTGGCTTCCAGTCCTGAACACTGCTTCCTTCCCAGAGCAAACCAGAAGAAAAACACATACCTATCACATATATAAGGTGATATAATTTACTCTACTTACTAGAAGTGATAGAAGTAGAAACTTTCTCCTTAGGAGTATATTTGGTCTCTCACTGTTGTGCAGCTGGGGAAGAGAAAGTCCTGCATCAAGTCCATTGCTAAAGCAGCATTTCACGCCAAGAGGCTGTCCCCATTCCTGGTTTGGGAAGAGCAGGATCCAGGCTCCACTCCCTCACTACTGCCTTACTGTGTAAGGAAGGCAGTGGCCCTGCAAAGCTGTCCTGCTGCCCTTAGGCTGTGGAATATTGGTACAGGGCAGTGAGAACATTTCCTTCTTACACTCTTATGTGCATTTGATTTATTGGTGCTGAAGAAAATGAGACGACCTCTGGACACACTTGTGTTCACCAAACTTGCAATCTCTGTTATGTCCTTAGCTCACACCTATACGTCGCTGCAACCTGAGACTGAATATACGATGGAGTTTTACAATGAGGCACGAGTTGATGGACTCCAGAAACGTGTTGAAACTCCAAATGAGATGACAGAGTACTTCGTGGGGCGGGATGACTTCCTGCACGTCCGGTACATGGAGTTTGGCAAAAGACGAAAGAAAATACACTTGGCTGGCACCAGAACTGACATAAACTCCCGGCCTATAGTGGTACGGCCAAGGCAGAAACAGAAAAATATCTGTCACTGTGATATATTTATACTATGCAAAACATAGTGCCTAGGGCTTTAGGTTCATTTTCAGTGGGGACAGCCAAGGCAAAAGTCCAGATGGGATGTCCAAGCCTTGTTCAGCTGCTGTGTCTCACAGTTGCTTGTCTAACAGAGAGCTACAGTGTGAGCAGTTGTCACGAGCTAAATTGAGCAGCTAGAATGATACCAGGAAACTAAGGCTTGGAAAGAGTGTGTCAGAGGAAAGAAAAAAAGCTTGACTAGGATTTTGGAATGATATTTTTACAGGTCTCAAAGCTAGTCAAGTGATTTCATATTCTGAGTCCAAGCTAGTAACATTTTAGGCTTCTGAGGAAGTATCCCATCACTCCAATTAGTTACAAGCAGGTAATCTTCCTCTTGTCAGGTCTGATTTGGAGAACAGAGGAGGGAGGAAATCTGACATCTGGCAGTATGGTTCAAACACTTCACCTGCCAAGACAGAGCCATGCAGGCCGTGGCGTGGCCAGCCTTTGGACTGGCGCCCAGCATGCTCCTTTTTCCTTCCCTATTTTGGGGAATGTGGGAAACTTTGTTGTGCTCCAAAATACCTTGCTTCCTGCAGTACCCTCAGGCAAGGATGCATCCCAAGCTAACTTTGAGCTTGGAGAGCATACTTGGCTTCACAAATAAGAGACTTCTGCATTGCTTTAGGCAGCTTTATGCTTTTTTTTCTCAGGCACAGGAAAGAACAGTATGACAATGGGCCAGGAGGTGCCATCATAGTCCAGGCAGAAAACCCCAAATTTTACCTTAGGTTTTTACCCAACTCTGCAAATCTTGCCAGTTTTCTGTGTTGGCTAACCTACTTCCATCTCTTTGTCTTCACCTCTTATTAGCAAATCAAGGAGTGTTTCCACAGAAACCCAGAAAAGCCTGCTGATGAAGATGTAGCAGAACGTGTATTTCTGATCACAAAGGATATGATCCAACTGACGTATCACCTGAAGGATAACTACATTACTGCCTCAAAGAAGGACTTCTTCAAAGCGGCAGAGGGGGACAGGAAAGGAAATGAAATGGTCATGACCCCAGAAATGTGCATCACGTACAAGGTATGGAGAAGAACTACTTATATTTTGGACTTTTCTTACATTCACAAAACTGAAAGGGAAGGTGGAATGTCAGTAGAAGAACTCCAAGCAAAGCATGACAGACCCCATGGTGTCCCCCTGCTCCATCTGCCCCCCTCCATTACAGACAGCCTCCAGGCTGACAACACAAACGCCATGCTGGAACCGATGGGGCACACAGGGCCTAGTGTAGGGTGAAAGGTCACCTTCCCAGACTTGGTCATCAGGCAGCATAGACACAGCCACTGGGATCTTGCAAGATGCTGGTTCAGGCTCAGTCCTGTGGATTCATAGCAGGGAAGCTGAAATGTCCTCTGCCGTTGTCTCTTGAAGAAGAGACCACAGCAGAGAAGCAGAGGCAGACATCCTGGGTTCTAGCTCCAATTCTGCCGTGGACTTATTGGGTCACATCATTGCTTAAATGTCCCAGAGTTTACCTAAAGGTGCAGAGGAAGATGCTGAGGCATAATGCAGTGCTGGTAGATAGATAGCCTTAAATGAAAGATATTCCAAAAAAAAAAGTGGAGCGCTGTCATTAAGGCAAATTCTCTCATTCAGGGCTGGGGGGAGTCACTCACTAACATGACTGATGTGAGGCTGTAACCAGGGACAGAAGTCTGCCAGCAAATTTCACAGTGATGCTGCACAATTAGGAAAATCAAAGTGAGATTGCAAATACAGGATTTTTTTAATGTTAGGCACGTTTTTTTAAAGTTTCTATTTTCCGTTGGGGAGAATACACAGAACGCAATTGCTGGATGAAAGGTTGCCACCCTTTCATCTCTAACCCTGCCAAACTGCTTCCAACCAAATAACAGTAGCATCAGCAAAGCGCAAGATGTGCCATCTGGCTCACATTACTGATGGATTCAAAATTGAAATGAAGTCTAATAAACTGTTGACCATGGGCTAGATGTTTCATTGGTGGGAATCAGTGTCACTGCATTGACTGTAGCAGAATTGTGCCAATTTCTGTTAGCAGAGTACCTGGTCCATGCACAGAGAGCGCTACTCTCTTTCACGAGCTTATCTGCTTCCAGGCAGGGTCTTCTGAGAAAGAGGAGAAGCTGCTCCATCTGTACAAACTGTTGCAGAAGCTAACAGTGGAAGAGAAGCAGCTGAAGCTACAAGTCCAGCAATCTGAAGCAGAGGTAAGAGGGAGTTGTCACACTGTGGTCAGAGATAGTCAGGCATGGAAACGGTTTCAGCTGGATGGTTGCCAAAGCATCCTCAGCATAAACTGTGATAAAAACAATACTCTGGTGTCATAAAGCCGTTTTCCATACTGAATTATCAAGCCTGCAACTCAGTCATTGTTCAGCAAAGATGTAGCTTTAATGTATTTATGGTGAGTCACACACTTTCCAGCTCCTGCTCTTACTCTTTATTCTCTGGGAAGAAGACAGTTTCAGAGAGCAAATGACAGCATCTAGAAACGTATCTGCCTTTTCCCAGGGAACAAGACCAAAAAGAAAATACATTGTATGTAATGTCATACCTAGTTGCTTGCTAGGCATTTCCAGGAAGGCCTATCCAAAATATTGAAGTGACTTTTTGTGGGAGCAACTGTAGAGAAATACTTCATAAAAGAGATTACTTGTATTGCTAACCACATTGTAACTGGTGTAACAAATTCACGTTCTTAGAAGTCTTTGTAATTACTTCATGATAAGTGCAACCATTCTGAAGGAGGCAAAGCTGTTGGATTTTATTTTTTAAAAAATGTTTTGGTAAGGAAGAGGAACCCCTCAAGGAGCTGGAGAGGGAATCTCTCAGCAGGATATGAATATATTTGTACAGATCTTCTACATTTAAGGGTATGCTACAGTTCTTGTACGCAGCATCTACTCTGTTGGCAGATGAAGCATGTAAAAGTACTGTCATTTTGTGGGAAAGCTGAGGGTCTTTTTTCTGATTTTTTGGAAGGTGTTAAATATTTTGAAGGTCCGTGAGAATGAAGAAACTAACATTAAATTGTCAGTTTCAATTTATAATGTAGAGAAGAATGAAAAGAGAAGACAACAGTATGAAGCCATGGTAGGTAGACCGCATTAATCCCAGTATTTATTACATGTACACAAAGGCAGAGTAAGCCTTTTCTGTCTGAGGAATTATCTCTGAAGAGCATTTTGTATCATTAAAATATACTAGGCCAAATCCCTAGCAGGTGTAAATCAGCACAGCTTAAGTTGACTTCCCATGAAAGCATAACGTGATCATGCCGTGACCTTCTGACTTTCTGCAAAAACTTGCATTACTGAAAAGGGTTACAGTTTTATTTTGTTTAGTTAATAAAGAAAACAATTAACAAGGAGTAGTTTATAATAGGGATTATGGAGGGAGTATGATAATGGATTCCAAGCTTCATCTTTTTAGCCAGGGCTCATTTTATTAAGCAAATATGCATTTCTTTATGTGATATAAATTGATTATTTTCTTAGTTTTCATTATTACTTGCAAAGCCAATTTTGTTCCAGGATCTCTGTTGAGGAATTAATACCTTATGACTGTTGTGGACAAATACAAAAAGATTCAAGAATAATTACTTGCAATTTTTCTAGATCTCCAAGATGATTCTTGTGAATGATTTTTAGACTGAGCTTTCCTGAATAGAGAGGTTATAAAAGGTGATACTAGGTTTCATGCCAGACTTCTGGCGTGAAACACAAGCAGGAGCAAAGATCCAAGCACCAGCTGTTTGCCAGCCTGCAAGCTGGTATCACTCACAATACCCTGTCCTCATCCATTTCTGTCCAAATACAAATGCATTTTGTAAAACTCTTCTTGCACCTCACTGGATAACACGTGAGAGATATCTCTGCAATCAAGGAAATTAGAAGAAATGTTAAAAAGGACAATAGAAAATAACCTACAGAATAAAACCCGCTTTGGGAAAGGGCTGGTATGCAAAGGCAATGCAAAGCAGTAGTTTTGATCAAACTATAGGAAAAAGAAACATTATTTCCTCCCTGGGGGCAAGGAGGAGCTTTGGTCTTTGCTTTTATTTTGCCTTATCACAGGATGTTTGGGGAACAAGTAAACGGGACCATGACTCTCTCTGTCCTTTTATCTCCAGAAGAAGACAAGGGAGGATGACCTCCGGGGTCCAGGGGAACAGGATCTGGATTACCTAGCGCCTTTTCTTATACAAATCGGCCACAAAGAGAAAATGACCAAGGAGCGTGCCCTGCGTGTCAGAGATGACTGCCTGACTGATTTTAAGAACCGTCTCATTAATAAAGCTAACATCATCCAGGCTCGCTTGGAAAAGGTATTCCCAACCACAATCCAGGATGTGCACAGTACTGGAGTCTCCTCAGAATCACAGAATCTTCTAGGTTGGAAGGGACCTTAAAGATCATCTTGTCCAACCATCAACCTAACTGACAAAAATAGACACCCGCACAACAACCAGGAAGCATCATCACTACCCCATACCCCCAACCACTACATCACCCTGTCTTTTGAACACCTCCAGGGATGGGGCCTCAACCACCTCCCTGGGCAGCCCATTCCAATGTCTGTCCTCTGTACTGGCAGGAGGGTAACACATATCTCTGACAGCAGGCAAGAAACAAGCCTCCTTTGATTACTTCAAGAGAGCCACAAACATGCCTGTTTTTTTTTTTTTTTTTTTTTTGTCGCTAACACGTGAGATCAAAGAACAATATAGCTCCAGGGTGAAAGTTAATCCCTATCTCAATTGGAGCCGATTTGGTTCTCCAGCACTTCTTAACTACAGTAACACAACACATTCAGGTTTCACTGCCTCTCACTGTTCCATGTTTTGATTCTCCTTGTTTTCTTGTTCTATGAAACCTCATCTCAGACTTACTGCCTCCCATGAAAATACACCAGCTCTGATTTTCTGTTTCCTTCTTCTCAGCTGCCTGAACTTTTAAGTTGCATTTTTGTGCCCCTTTGTTCCTCGCTGTCCTCTCCATCCCCCTGACCTCTGGTTGCTTGCTCCCCCAACAGGCGGTGGAAGAGCTGCAGAAGAAGGACCAGTGGTTTCAGAAAAACCAGAATCGGCTCAGTGCAGAGGAGGAGAGTGACTTCCTCACCCGCCGCTCTGAAACCACATTCCACATCCAGATTCTAGCACTGAGGCTCAAGAGGTACTGGGAATGGCTGCTTGAGACCAGGGGAAGTCAGCTGCCAGCACTCAGCACCGAGGCTGTTAGGTAAAGCATTCTGCTCCCTGTCCCACTGCAGTTCATCTCCAATGTTCTCCTTCTCGTTCTAGAGAAAAGCAGGCGGCACCACAGAAATACCTTGCTCTTGAAGAGAAGCTGCGCAACGATCCTCGCCTGGCAGAGCACCTTGATCACACCTAATTTCTTTACTCCTTCACAGCAGACGCTGGAAATCTGTGCTGAAGCCTGTTAGAAGCAGCCTGAAAAGAAAAAAAAACAAATGGGAAGTTTTCCTACTTGACTGCAGTAAATATTTCGTTATTATCAGATTCATGGAGATTGTAATGGACTTGTAGCATTCCACTGTCCTTTTTTCTTTTCCCTCTTTTGTTTTAAGGCCCATCTACAATTACATCAATTGCCTTCTCGTGCAATTCCATCATGGTTGAGATTGAAGCCTGAATGAGACCTTAGCTTTAAGGTCTATTTCCGAAGTTGCTACAAATTATGCACACTCTATTGCAGAGCTTTTCTTCCCCAAACCTACTGACATCAGGAGCAGCATTATTTGAGAATACCGGTTCTTTTCCAACATAGTAATATTTGAACAAATTTATAATTTAGTTTTATAAGTAGCACAAGCAAATGTTTTGAAATTATGAGTTCACAACAAATATAAAAATTCTTTGACCTCATTTAGAGCTATTAACTACAAAACCCAGCAAAAACTAATACTCACATTGGCAAAGTTTGGATTTTAACATCTTTATTTTTCTCTTTGAGTATCTCCACTCACCATTTACAAATATTGGCAGACAGGGTAAAGTGTCAAGAGGAATCCAAAAAGCATTCCAAATCTAAAAAGTCGTAGGCAATCAAGTGTTCTGGTTAATAAGCATTCCCTGAAATCCCCAAATGGAAGTGAGTATGTGTGTGCCATGTATTGGTATTTATGCAAGTCCCTGAGCATGCCAGGAAATAATTTCTGATGTCATCTCTAGCGCATTAGGCACCATGGACACCTGTGGTGGTCCTGCCTACAGTTCCCAACAGCTACAGTCTTCAAGGAACAACCTTTAATGATCACCTTCAGTAAGGACTATATTGATTGCAGCAGGGGGAAGGCAGGAGAGTATTTTGCAGAATACAGCAGAATAAGGGATGTTACACCAGAAATACAGCACAAACCAGATCCGATTATACTTCTTGTTTTATGGTAGCTGCCCATTTTAAGTGTAATAGATACACTAAAGTGCTTTTACAGAGAAACACCCCCCCCCAACTGCCTATTTTATTGCAACAGAGTCATTTTCTCTTGTGTTGTTTCTGTCACATTTTAAGAAGTGAACACAATGTTAAAACCAAAAGCCATCATTAGCTCATTAGGCCTAATCTGAATAGGTGAGTGATTAAAACATACCAAATTACCCGTATAGACAGCCCATTAATTTAGGTGCCACTTGAAGGATGTACTCCATTTTGGGCTCAGAAAGGGAGAAGAGAGAATTGAGTATCTCCTGCGGGAGAGGGCTGAGGTGTTTGACACCCACCACAGCAAATCCCTGGGTCTGGCTGGGCCTCCCAGCTCCCAGCTTTGGAGCTTGGAGATGTTTCGTGACAGCACATCAAGTTCCAAGCCATTCAACAGCTGCAGCAGCCTATTCCACACCAACACACTGACAGCTCTATGTCCCTCCATCAATGCTTGAGTAACGTGGCAACCTGGCACGGACAGAAACAGGCCAGGGGAGGAGAAAGCTCAGAAATGGCTCCCTCTCAGAGAGAGAGGTGTTCCAGTAAGAACACACTACTGAAAAGGAACTTTAGGAACGAGCCAAAATAATTTCTGCATCACAAGGACCATGAATTGCTGAAGGACTGAGGGAGACAGAAACAAAAATAGGAGCAAGCGAGCTTGTGGTTACGAACTCATCAGTGTTAGTTCAATACCAGAAAAGACAACAGAACAAATTAATTTAAAATCCTTTGTACAGGCACTAGGGACATTAGCAACTGCCCCCCCCCCCCCCACCCCCCCAAAAAAAAAAAAAAAAAGTAATCAGCTAATACATATTGTCAAGGACTATCATCAAACCAATTTGATTTCCTCTTTTGACGAAGTAATTGGCTTCAGAGGCAGGGAGGGAGGGCTGCAGTGGCACAACTCCCTCTCATCCAGGCTGGGAGCGCCAAGCACGGCTCCCCCGGGGGGAAAAGTGAGGGCCTGGCTCCCCGGGGGGAGCAGGAGGCGGGGGCTCTGTGCCCGGCAAAAAGGCGCAGACAGGGAGATTGCGAGAGCCCCGCTCCCGCCAGGGCTGCGCTCGTAACACGATTCCCTGGCGAGGGGAACCGTTTCCGGGGGACACACCAGCGCAACAGCCGCAGCCGCCGCCGGGCCCTGCGGCACAAAGGCGAGGAAAGGCCTCTGGGCCGCCTCCACCGCACCCCCTGGCTGGGGCCGCGGCAGCCTCCCCGCAGGGCCGAGAAGGGGCGCTGCTCCACCCCACCGCGCCGCAAAATGGCGGCTCCTGCTCACCGCCCTTTCTATTGGCGCGCTTGAAAGGCTCCCCCAAGAAGCTGCGTGGTGAGTGGCCGGTCGCTCTGCGGTTGCTAAGGCGACCGCCTCTCCCTCGGCTCCTATTGGCCGAGCGGCGTAGGGAAACCGGGCAATGGCGGGGCTCGGCGCGGCGAGGTTCAGGGGAGCCGGCGGCTCTGATTGGCGGCACCGGGCGGGGGCGGGGCGCGGCTCAGGTTCGTTGTGAGGGGCCGGTTGTCAGGTGGCGGCGGTGTCGCTGGGGGCGGGAGGGGAGTCCGGTACTACCGGAGCCGCCGCCGGTAGCGCTGGGGCGGCCGGGCGGGCCTCGCCGAACGCCATCACCAACAACAACGTTCAGGCGTCCCCTGGGTGGCTCCGGGCGCCGCCCGCTGCTCCTCACCGCCCGGCAGCGCTCCCCCCCCCCACGGCACCGCCCGCCGGGCTTCCCGCTGGCCTGTGGCTCCCGCGATGGTCCTCAGCGGTAAGGCCTCACCCCGCACCGACGCCAGGTCCGGCGGCGGGCTGGGCCCGCGCCCCCTGCCCACCGCCTCGGCGCGGCCTTCCCGCGCCCTGCTCCGGCGCGGCGGGGCTTCGCCGTG